TTTTGTTTCCTTTATAAAAGTTTATGGTGGGGATAATTATGTCGCACCAATTGTGTGCCGTGTCTGGTACGTAATCTGTGTTCAGAGAATCGTTGCCCCCTCATCCTCTCTTCCCTCTGCCTCCTGCTCAGAGTTAAGCAGGGTCAGTGACGTAATGCTATCAGGCTGTTGGCCATGCGCACCGGACACATATGTACCCGATGTTTGGCAGGCTTCCTGCTGTGTATGGACCATGTTTTATTCATGCACATATGATGCAGATCACTCCTTCTTAGGGCAGAAATTTCAGCTTGTAGATTCCTAGATGGAAGAAAGCATTTGGATAAACTGAGGACACAGAAGGCAAGCAGGAATGAGAAAAGCAGTGCGTTGACGGAGGGTTTCATGGGCAGTTAGGAAGTGGAGGACGTGAAGTGCAAAAAGTCAGGACTCTTGTTCGTAGGCCGATGCTGCCCTCTAGTGGGGAAGAGGCACAATGGACCAAAGTGTCCTCTGCCTTCTACCCACTTGAGGGCTCCATGCAGGGTTAAAATGACTGATTCCAGCTAAAGAAACAGAGACACAGGCCTAGGGGAGATCAGCCATGCAGGCCACCCTTCTTGGAATCATTGACCCTGAGACACAGAGAATTCTAGAAAGCATCTATTACGTTTTAGGCACCAGAAGCTTTGCATGCGTTACATCTAATTCTCAGTGCTCTTATTCCCAGACTCAGAGTTAGGAAATGAGTCATCCAGAAATTGAGACGTGTAGCCAGGAGCCAAGCTGAGCTGGCTGGTTCCAGAGGTGTCACCACTGTCTGATGTCCCGTCTTTTCTTTCTCTTAGAACCTAGGTGGTCCTGGAGGCCTGAGTTCAAATGCATCTCTATCATGTACAAGCTGTGTGGCCTTGAGGCAGTTGACCAATCTCTCTGAGCTTTTTTTTCCATCTACAAAAAGAGTATCATAACATGAACCTTATAGAGGGGTCATGAGAATTTTTGTTTAACCTCCGGTAATTCAGAAGGGATAAAGACGTGAAGAAAGCTGTTGCCTCAGGATGATAGGATACTAGTAGGTTGCCCCACTTTCTGAATACATCACTTGTATAATCAGACAAAAAGAGAGGATGAATTAGACCAGTCTACTTTGAAAAGAGGCCGAAGCAGTCACCCACATGTACCAGCTCAGTAAGATGGTTTTGGAGAGAATGTTGTCTCGTTTTCTCGAAGTTGTATCAGGCGCATCTCAGGAACCTTGCATAGAAAACCACAGACTTCCTCTGAGGTGGGCTTTCATTTTGTCGTGCCCAGAACCCTCAGCTCCGCCCTTCCGCTGCCCTGCTCAGCTGTCTCAGTCACTGCTAAGAAGTCAGGGCTGTCACATGAGATCACAGTGGCCTTAGTTGTCCTCCCCTCTAATGGCCAGGAAGAGATCCGGAGCTGGGCCTTGGGTGCTGGGCAGTGTGGGTCCAGAGTGTCCTAGCTTCCTCCTCATCACTCTCCCGAGGGTGGCCGAGACGTACCTGGTTCTTGAAACTTTCTTCCATCAGCACCTTAAATTCTACTTCAGTGCATAATTCTGTTCTTTAAAAAAAAGATTCTTTAGAAAATCTTATTTGTTTCCAGGCTTTCTATGAGGAGAGCTGTGTCGAGTATTTATTATAAAATTATTCTAAAAAAAAAAAAAATCAACCTCATGGTTAGAGATAGGCTGGAAGGGAGTATCTAAATGAATACCAGTGTTTTCCTCTGGGTGGTGAGCAGTGGTGGTTTCTGCTATCTTCCTTGTAACCGTAATAATAATAGCTAAAATTTATTGAGCACTTACTGTATGCCAGGCACTGTGGAAAGCCCTTCGTGTGCATTCATCGCTTAAACCTCAAAACAATCTTGTGAGGCAGGTACTACTATTATCCCCACTGGGGGAAACAGAGGCTCAGAGAAGGTAAAATAACTTCTCCAAGGTCACACAGCTGGTGAGTGCAGACACTGGCCAGCGCCGGGGTCTGTGTTCTCGGCACTGTGTTGTGATGCCTCTCCATCTTGGGTTTATTCTCAGATTGTTCTTCCATGGGCATGTGTTTCTTCTAAAATGATTTCGTTTAAAAAAAGAGAACTTATTTTTAAATTAAGCTATCTAGTCCCACCAGTGCAAAAACACATAGGGAGAAATTCCGTACAAGTGCAGGAATGCCCAAAAGGAAATACGAGCACCATGGTATTCTTTTATGGGATGCTGTCTTTTCCACATTCTCTAAAATAAGCATTTCTTGCCTAAGTCATCAAATAAAGTAAAACTCATGAAGCAGAGAAGAAAATCTGCTGTTGGAAGTCCCAGTGAGAATAACAGCTAATGTTTCTGTTGAGAAACTCTGTGTTCCAGGAACTTCTTTGAAGCCCTGTTGGGGCATTTGATCCTTGAAGGCCTCCCAGGAAGGTAGGGGTTCTTGCCCCGCCCACTTTACGGAGGCACAAACTGAGGCCCAGGGAGCATTTGTGCCATCTTGAGGCAGGTGTCGTTCCCTGTCCTCTTCCACATAGTGACCCTCAGAAATTCTAACAGACTGGTCTCATTTCAAAGTGAGTAGGGCCGCTGGAAGAGGTCCCTGGGTTTCTGGATGGCCTGTTTGGCTTTGCATGAAGAGCTTGTGCCTGCAGGTGGCAGAGGCCTTCGCCGCTCTGTCCCGGCCCTGGTGGGCTGTTGGCATGGAAGCCAGGCCTCCTGTGTCACACTGGCATCTCTCCTTCATGCAATACAGTGCGTGCTGCTGTGGCCGGCCCACTGATGGGAGTCTCCTTCTCCTTGTCAGTCAGGAAACAATAAAGAGCAGGCCTCCAGGGGGCCTGGCTGCAGAAGATAGGGCTCCCTGAGAGGAGGAAAAGGGGGCACCCACAGCATCTTCCCTTTCCTGGGTTCTTCTGTCACCCAGCCAAGCCGTGGAGCATCAGTGGAAGCTAACAGGTATAAAGTGCTTCATCTGTGCCGGGGTCACATGGGGCCCTGACATCTGCCGTCCTGTATTCCTCCCTGCAGCACCCTAAAATATTCTTAGCATCTCTACTTTTCAGATGTGGAACCAACATAAACAGGGGGCTGGGCTTGCCCAGGTGTGCCAGGTGGACTTGTAGGACCCAGTCTTCTCTTTCTCTCTCTCTCTCTCTCTCTCTCTCTCTCTCTCTCTCTCTCTCTCTCACACACACACACACACACACACACTACCTTCCGTCAGGTGGGAAGGCCTCCTGCTGTGTGCTTTGGTTTCTGAGGAGGCGTCCATGTCCATCCACCCGCAGGAAGGGCTTCCTCAGCTTGGTGCTGGTGCCTGTGCAAGGTGTAAGCAGCAGACCCTGCCTGTGAATAGCAGGGTGTGGGGGTCGGGGTTTGTTCTTTAACCTGAGCTAACTGGGGACCCAGTGCTGCAGAGGAGCACAGGGTCAGGCTGCCACCATGGGGCAAGGGGCTTAACCTTTGTAATTCTGCGGTGTGGCGATGTCATGACTGGTTTCTGTTCTACTATGGATGGACTTTTGGGTTGCTTGCAGTTTGGGATCTTACAGCGTTGGCATGAGCATTCTTGGCTGTATCTCCAAAGTGGTGTCAGACTTTCTGCAGAGTATTATGTAGGAGTTAGAGTTGTGAGTCACTGGGTCGTCTTCAGGTTTTCAGACGCTGCCCAAAGTTTGCCAAGTGGCTGTCCATTTTACACTCCTACCCTCCATGTACAAGAGTTTCAGATACCCTGCATCCTGGCCCCCCAAGTCGGTGAGCTCCAAGAAGCCAGAGTTTTTGACCATTGGATTCAGTGCTGAATCCGCCTTCTTGACAATACTTGGCACACAGAAGGCACTCAATAAATGTTGATTGGATAGATGACTATCTGAGTGGTTTCATGATGACGTCACTGGAGAATTCAGGCTGAGTGAGTCTACCCTTGGGAACAGACTAGAATTACCCTCCAGCTGAGCTCAGATTCCCTCTGGTGTCAGTTATCTCCTACCTTGTTCTTCGTGGTCCATGTGGACCTGTTAGCACCCACCCTTTCATGCGGCTGCTTCGGTTATATTGACACACGTATTGATTGTCCCCGTAAGTGGCCAGCATCTTCAGGGAATGGCCACTGCTTCACTCTTGTTTTTATCCCCAGGACCTGGAGAACTGTCAGTACTTGGGAAATGTCTAGCAAATTGAAATTTAGTTACAGACTGTGCATTTTAATTTGAGCTCAATCCTTTTCCGAAATGATCCAAAAGGTTTGTACAAAATTCTAGGTACTATATCCATCAGCTACTTAACGCTTGTGCCTAGTACAATCTTTGCAAGTGCTGTGGAAAAGCTGGAGTCCTGAAATGACTATTACAACCACAGCAGATAGCAGCTCCAAAATACCGGGGGGGAATGCAAAATTGAAATGAATAAATACCTAATTAAATGTTCTCAAGCGTACCATTATCTCAGCTTTGTTACTTGCTAAATTTAATGCCCCTAAACATTTCATTACGTTTGAAAATAATTTGTGGCTTCAGTTTTTCTCACTTTGCAAGAAATCCTGAGTTTGCACAGTGAGTGCTGAGAAATCTTAGCCAACCGTAAATTAAACAAATTACATAACACCAAATAAGAGTAAAAGCAAAATTATAAAAAATTATTTCAAAAAATGTTTATGGCAGAAAAAATGTTTAGTGATTGACATGTCTGTATTTTAACGCTTGATATGATGTGGGATGGAGTCCTCTAAAAATAAGTGTACTGGGTGCCCACAAATATTTTAAAGCAGCCTACCAAAATATTATATAGAATTCCTGCGTAATCCAGAATGTTTCGGTAGAGTTCCAAAAATTAGTAATACATGCTTTCCCCCTCTAGGGTTTTTAAACTAATTCCCATAATGTCAATTGTATAATCAGACATCTCATCTGATTGATGTAACATAATTTCCCTGACCTTTGACAATTTTGCTCGTTGATTGGACTCTGTGTTTTTTTAATCTAATCTTTGTTTCATCTTCTTTTTTTTTCAGGAATCCTGTTCACGATGCTGGTATTCGGACCAGCCTGTGGATTTATCCTGGGCTCTTTCTGTACCAAAATCTATGTGGATGCTGTCTTCATTGATACAAGTAAGAAATATCTCTTAATTTCTAGCCACTATCTACAAGCCTTTCCTCCCTTATAAAGGAGCTGTCAGCCTGTGGGTTCTAAGACCTCCCTACAGTGACAGCATCCACCCCTGTAGCTGGCGTCCCACCTGAGGTTATGCGGGAGGAGCGGGAGGTGTGGGTTCAGAGGGCCTGGACCCTCAAATCCGCATTCTGCCAGGGTCTACCTAGGCTGAATAACCCCCTGTACTTGATTTTACTCCTGAAATCTATATTTTCCTCATCTGTACCTTAAGAGTAATGCTAATTATATCTGCCTCGCGGGGCTATTGTAAGAATCAAATGAGCATAGATGTAGAAGTGCCTGCCGTACACCTACTCACTGAATGTTGGCCCATCGACCTATATGAGGAACCCACTTTCTGAACTAAAAGTTGGAGCATGCATTCTGGAAGTACAGGTGTATGAAGGGGCCAATGAGACAGAATCTGTGAAAATCCTTCCTGTATAACACTGTTGTGGTGGCCTTTGTAAGGAAACATACTACATCTCAAAACTATTTCAGTCAACTCTTCTTGTGTTCTTAGCAGGAAGAGCAAGTGTGTTTCTCAGATTGCTCCAGACCCGCGCCCCCCACCCATCCACCCACAATTCCTTAGCACATTTTGATTGGACCATGTGCGTGTCAGGGTGGGCTAGATAATGCCGTGATAACAAATAATTCCCAAATCTAAGAGACTTTATGCAACCAAAGTCTATTTCTCGGTCACGCTGCATGTCCAGTGCAGGTTGGCAGTGCTGGGGAGGGCGAGCGTTGGCTCATCACGGTCACTCCAGGCCCGTGGATCACAGAAGCGCCCTCTGACCCCAGCTGCACAGTTGCCAAAGCAGGAAACCAGCCTGTGGTAGGTTTCACACTGGCTCTGGAAGCTTCTGCTCAGAAATGAGACACATTGTTTCTGCTCACATTTCAGTGGCCAGAGCAAGTCAGTCGTGTACCAGTTTCCTGTTGCTGTGTAACCAGTGACCCCACACTTAGCGACAGTGTAGCAGTTATTATCTCCCGGCCTGTGTCTGTGGCTCTGAAATTCAGAAGCAGTTTAGCTGTGTGGTTCTGCCTCAGGGTCTGGCATGAGGCTGCCATCAAGGTCTCTACCTGGTCTGTAGTCACCTCAAAGCTCACCTGGAGGAAGACCCACTTTCAGGCTCCCTCCCTGGGGCCTCTCTACGGATCCACCTCACCATGGCTCCCCTGGAGTGAACAACCCCAAGAGGGGGTGAGAGAGAGCACCTGAGACAGAAGCCACAGCCTCACAAGTGACAGCTCATTGTGTCCGCTGCAATCTGTGTGTTAGAAGCAAGCCGCTTGTTCTGGTCTACACTCCGCAGAAGGGATCACTACCCAGGGACGTAAATACCAAGGGGTTGGGATCGTTGGAGACGATCTTAGACGCTGCCTACCACAGGTGATCAGAGCTCGACTGTGTGCTCGGAAGAGGATGCTATATTCCTGTGCAGTGAACTAAGTGGGCAGAGAACCTGCGTTTCCTTTCTCTCTGAAAACAGCGTGCGGAAAGCCATTCCAGCTTCTCCTTGTGCCGATCTATCGTCGGGATCAATAAGGACTCCTAGCCCCTGCGTTCTCAATCCATCATCTCTCGACAGTGCTAAATTTACTAATTCACCCCAAAGAAATAATGCGGCTTTAGATCCAATCAAGTCACTTGGTGATTCACTCCATTAATCTCACTGATATATTTACTTGTAGCTAATGATGTTACAAATTTCCGAGTGGAGAGAAAAAAAAAAAAGGAGTCAAATGCAGCCTTATTTATTTATTCTTTTAAAGTGCTGGGTCTTTCTGGGAGGTGATTGAACGCGGCTGCTGTTTTGTGGGTTGGCCCCTTGAACCCTATTCCGAGCCGGATGAGGGTTAGAGAAAACAGCACAAGAGGTGGCTCAGCTGCCATCTTGCTTATGTGGACAAAAAAGCCAGCTCCCGCCACTTCGCCAAAGGTAGCACAAGGCAGGGATAGCAGAAAGGGGTTGGGAGGGGGCCGCACTCCCAGTGTCACCTGGGCAAAGAAGCCACGGCCAGGCTGCCCGTTTTGCCCTCAGCATACCATCAATGGCCCCTTTGAATCAAGGCCTGTGGATGACCAGACTCTTTGAACCAAAAAGAACCACAGACATCATTCACTTCCAACTTTTTCATTTTGCAAATGTGGAAACTGAGGCCCAGAGAAGGTCAGGGATGTCTCCAGTCCAAGGGACATATCTATATAAGCCCAGACCTCCTGAGCCAAGTGTACAGATAGTTCTACTTCAGGAGTCCCCTCCACCAAGCTCCCTCCTAGGAATGAAATAGCATCTTTTCTCTGTGCCTGGAGTCACCAAGGAGTAGACAAGTGGCTGGAGGTGGCTTAGCTGTTCCACGCACAGTCCCCCCAGGAAGCCGTGTCTTTGCTGAGGCTCTTCCCTCAGCCAGGGGTGCCGCCCCCACCCCATTCTAGCCAACATCTTTCCTCCTCCTCGGAGGCCCAGTGTGAAGCCCCTTCATCCGTGGGTCTCGGCTCATTAGCAGTCTGAGACTCCCCATGAGCAAGGCAGAGGGGTGCGTTTCCATACCGTCTGGGCATCTTGCTGAAGGCAGCCTCTCCCCCAAACACGTTGACAGCAGGTTCTGACCTGATGTGTCTCTAAGAAATGGAAGGATGCTTTGTGAGTCACTCCCTGTCTTTTGTCTCCTTTCTGGAGGCGAGGGGAGGGCTGGTGCTACTCTTCACCAGCAGAGGGCAGAAGAATATAATTTACTCTGTTAGGGAGCCAGCCATAGAATTCTGAAGTTCCCAGCAATTTTTATTTTTCTGATCTTGTGGCTGAAAAGTGTTCTCTCTGTGAGTGGATTGGGGCTGTATTTTGAGGAGGGGGTTCTTAGTGTTGGGTTTTTTTTTAATCTTTTTTTTTAGGGGTGACTTTCCCCTATCTTTTCCTCACCAGCTAAGACAGAGCTCCTCTGTAGGACTGTCCATCCCATGGGAATGTGTCCTTAAGCATATAGGGGCCACGCACACAGCCCCGTGCAGGGGAGGCCGTGGGTTATAGCAACGGCCCGCTATGGGGTGGAGAGACCCCAGGGGCAGCTCCCGGGAGGGCTCCCCTGGCTGCGCTTACACACAGGCACCTGCCCCTGCTGCTTTCGTGGGTATGTGGTCCCGGCAGGGCTCCCTTTGCCCCTCTCTGCTTAAGGAGACTAGATGCCGCCTCTGTCAGCAGGGAAGGAATGATGGTGCCCCCAGAATTTCTTAGTTGAGAATCGCTTTGTAAAACTGAGACCAGTCGAGAACAGGACCTAGAACAAAGGAGGACCTGGCAGCAGAGCGTGCCCCAAAGCGTTGAACTGATGACCAGCCTTAACCTCGTGGGCTTATCAGAAGAGGAGGCTCGCTGAGAACATCAGCCTGAGTGGGCCACTTATCAAAGCTCTACAGGGGTTGCCGCGTTTGACCGTCAGAACATCCCCACTGGAACTCTTATCCTCCCAACAGAGGAGGCGTCCTCAGGCGGTGATGAGCTCTGAGTGCCGGCACTGGAGTCAGACCTCCCGACTACACCCCTTCCGAGCCGTGTACTCCTGGGGACATTTCTCCTCCGGGCCCTGTGCGTGCAGGACAGGAGCTAATGACACGCCCCACTTAGCACGGGCCTGGCGTGTGGCAGGTGCCCAGTAAAGTCACATGCGATGAAGGAACCCAGGAGGCGAGCTCATTTCCACAGCTAGTAGGACTCCACCCCCAGGCCTGTCTGGCCCCAAACTGGCCACCCTTTCCTTGGACAAAGGCCTTGCTGACATGACAGCTTCACTCACCAGACTCGTCCGAAGGCGTGGACCAGCCAGCTCCTTGACGTCATGGCTGTGTGGTGTTTGCAGCTGGAATACGGCATGTCCGTCTCTTTGCTTCGTGAATAAGGTCAACAAGCTGAGAGGCCCTGCTCTGGCACTCTAGGGCTGGCTGCTGTCACCAGAGTCCTTCTTGTTGGACTAATTATTAGCACAGTGGCTGGGATCCTGAGGGCTCCATACTGCCCGCCCCCCTCAGCCCCTTCCTGTCCGTGCTTTCTAACTAGGCCTGTAATGAGACTCTTGGAACGCTTGGGTCCCATAGCAGAAGTTTCACAAAATAGGTTAGGCAAATAGGTAAATGGACTGAAAGAAAGAAAAAAAAAAAAGACTACCCAGAGAGCCATACACATCAGTATGGCCTGAGAGTAAGAAGTTAATGTCCCCAGTTTGCTCTGCTCTGTCCCTCTTACAGCCTCAGGTATCCTCCTGGGTGGGTTGGTTGCTTAGTTGCAAACTGGTTCAACCCTAGTTTCAGTGGTTTTTCTTTCGAAACTATAGTGGTGATAATGGTCCTCGGAAATGGGAGGAAATCTCCGCTCCATATGTTTGCACGACCTTCAACAGAGGGAGCAAACGGCCTCCAGAGGCTTAATCAGCCTACCCAACAAAACCACAAAAACACTCCGCATGTCGGATTTTAAGACGCATTCCAAGACATGGAAGGGTTATAAAAATGGATCTTGCAAAGCGGGAATCCTTCTGAGCCTAAGACACCTGTGCAAGGGCAGGGCCGCACTGGGCCAGCCTCACGGCAGGCAGACATTTCTATCGTGGTGACTCAGTATGGGGCTCTCCTCACTCCACTGCTCCTGTTCCAGCATCTTCCCTCGGAGCCTGGAATGACCCGGGGGTGGACAAGTGGCTGGAGGCAGCTCCGCCTCACAGAGCGACCCCAGGATGCAATGCCGGGGATGCTGCCCCCACCTCGTTGTGTTCAACGTCTTTCTTCATCTGTGATTCTCGTCCCATTGGCAGTTTGATCCATCTAAGCGAATGAGACAGAGCGGTGCTTTTCCGTTTTGTCCTAGGCATCTGACTTGACAGCAAGCAGCCCTTGCCGAAAGGCTGGGACTGCAGTAATTTTTTTTAAAGATCTAGACGTTAACTAGAACCAGCGAAATCAAGAGGTTTTCACAAACCTTGCCCCAAATTGTACCTAAAACAATACTTTTGTTATCCGAAGCCTGCCCAGGACCAGTGTTCCTAAGGAGCATGAACTTTTATTCTCTAATCGTTTTGTATACGTCAGGGTAGGCTCAGTTCTGCTGGGGTAACAAACACCCCTAACAGCTGTAGACTTGGAATAATACAGGTTTAGTTCTTGCTCGTGCCATATGCCCAGTGCAGGTCAGCAGGAACTTTCTGTTCATTATAGCCTCCCGGGCACTATCTTAAAAGGATTTCACATGTTTCCACCGTCAGGCAGGGGAAAAGAGCATGGCCAGTGATGCACCAGCTCATACGTACCTATGTCCACACAGAAGTGACGTGACCCATGTCCCCCTGCTCACATTTCATTGGAAGAGCACTGGCGCATGGCCACACTGAACTTCACAGTAAGGGCGGTGTAATCTTCCTCATTCTCAGACAAGGAGACCCAAAGGCAGGCATCAGTAACGGCCGCCACACCACTCTTGGCCAGCCAATACAGACAGCTCTCCACATTGATAATATGAGAGCAGTTATCCGCTGAGCAGGTGGAGGGAGAGTCTCACCATAACTGGCCAAAATGCCTCATAAAAAAAAATGCCATTCGTTGTGGAGATGGGTAGAGAAAGGAAGTGCCTGAGCAAAGACGTTCTCACACTGGGTTCAAGGGTCAGTTGTCTTCCCAGAGCCACCAATATGAGACTGAAACTCGGCTCGCTACGCCACCCTGTCCTGAGAGCATCATGCACCAAAGCCCCCTGGTTTCTTCTCGGCGTGTTACTCCTCTCCCTGCCAGGGCTCTGGGTATTTGAAATGGAGGAAAAAGAGAAAACAAATCAACCACAATAGTCAACTGTGGTTGTTGTAAGAGCTCCAAAATCCTGCCCTCCACACACCTTCTTGCAGACGCTTCCCCTCCCCTTGCCTGAGGGGCAGGCATACCTCCGCTTGACACAGAGCCTGTGCTCTTTCCTGCCTTACAAATCCAGCGTCAGCTTTCCACCTACATGCAGGGAGCGAGGTGACACGCTCACATAAACAGTCACCACAACCCCCATGGCAGCCCCTTCTCAGGGATGTTTTCTCACACATGGAAGAGAGTCACTAACTTCCTAACTAAAATAGGAGTCTCTACATGCTACTAATTTTGTATCCCAACTGCCAGGATTTCTTTCTCTACTGGCTCACATCTGCCAGCGTTCCCATTCCCCCTTCCCTGGGGACAACAGCTCCTTCTCACCGTCTTTTGTTTTCATTCATCGCTTGGCAGCGGGTGAAGAAAACTGTGAATGAATGGTGAAAACATTCCTGCTCAGCGACCCTGGGCAATCTTACTTCCTTTTCTCCTTTCTTATACATAAAGATGCTTTTGAGATCACCTTGTGTTTTTCCGTGCCATCCCCTTTTTTGAAAAACCTGTATCTTAAAATTCCCGTCCACATAAATACATACCTAAAAGTAGAAATAATAAGAGCGCCTACTATGTGTCAGGTAGTTCTTGCTCAGTACCTCATCTTTGCAAGCGTTCTAGGTAGACATCATCTTTCTGTTGCAAATGATGAGCCTAAGGCTCAGAGAGGGTAAGGAACTTGCACAGTGTCACATGCTAGCAAGTGGCAGAGCTGGGATTCAACACCAAGCAGCTACCAAAAGCACCTGGTCCATTGTGGTGTCCTGCCTGTTGCTAGTGCTGTGATGTCCAGGTCTCCAGGACAGAGACCACTGATATTCCAAAAGGCCAGCTGGCCACCTGCCAGAGCGTTGGTGGTCTCAGGCTTATTGCACAAAGCTCAGGAATTAACCATCTACCGAGGGCCCCCAGGGAGCCGAAAACAAAGTCCAGACAATCAAGAGGGGTCACCGGTGTCACAGAGTGGTCAAGAGCGTAGCCTCTGGCATCTGAATACCCGTGTTCCATCTTTATGAACTTGGGCAAGGTCCCTCACCTTTGTAAGCCTCCATTTCTCGACCTACATAAAATAAGGGGTAATAAAAGACTACCTTGTAGTGTTGTGGGAAGGATTGACTGGAACACTTAAGGATGCACTCTGCCTATGGCCCGATGCAAGGGGAGCCTTCAATAAATGACAGCTGGCGTTGTCGTCAGCATTAGCTAAAGAGTCTTCAGGGAGAGCCTTTTACAAGTGGTGGTCATCTGGTGCCTGCGGTCATGTTTCTTCCCAAGTCTGTCCGTCCATCTGGTCCAGGCCTGCAGCCCTATTAGCTGTTAGCTCACAGGCTGTGGCCCAGGTCTCCAAGAATTTCCTTCCAGGCCCCAGGGATGTGTGATTATTATCAGAGAGACATTTCTCAGCAGCTGATCTGGGAGTGCTGCTATGGAAGGCAGTTGTAGAGAGAGGGGAAAACATCTACCAAGGGGGTGAGCTGTAGTTTATGTCTTCATGACTTCAGCTGGCAAATCAAATAACAATACAAGACAGCCAAACCACATGCATGGTACCTTTAAGCATATAAGTGGGTTGCAAAGCTTTCCATTGGAGGACTGGCCCCAAACCACAGGCCACCACCTATCCACTCGCAGCTTGGAAACAGGATCCTAGCCATAAATATTGGGTTGTCGGAAAACTCATGACACATTTTTGCCATGAAAAACATAGAAAAACTACGTCATGACTTTTCCGACAGCCCAATATTACGCTAACGTTGATTAAGTGCTCGAGTTCGTGCCAGGCACTCTTCTGAGCACGTAATGTCTGGTCTCCCCCAAAACTAGATAAGTATTGTCACCGTCATCAGTGTTGTACAGCGAAGTCAGCTGAGGCATAGAGCGTTCACATCACTGGCCTGAGGCCGCACTGCGACACATGGGCAGGATCAACCCAGGCATCTTGGCTTTTCTGCTGTGTGCCGCCCCTTAGGACCTGTGAACCCAATTTAAGACAGGGCCTGGGGTATTGAATGGGATCTCAGATTAGCTGCATTTTGCGGGGTACGAGTGAGTAGACGTAGTGAAAAATGTACCCTTGGAAAATAAATGTGTCTGTTTCCTTGTGTTTTTGTTAACACACCTTGGCAGTTCTGCCAAGCCATTCGGTTTCAGCCTACATTCAGAGGGTGTCTGGCTTCTCGCTGTTTTTGTTTAGACTGATACAAGCACAGAACAGACAAGAAAATTAAGGTGGGAAAGCAATCACGTCTTCAGCTTTGGGAGAAATAGAAGCACCCATGTGGAATGACGGGGCTGCTTTGCCCGGCGTTCGGTGGGCCCCAACCCAGGCCCTTCCAGGGGCCTCGGCCCACCTGTGCTGCTGACTGAAGCACCCCAGCCCAGTCTGGCCTCGCTGCATCCCCTGTATCCCCTCCCACTGACTTGGCCCTTTCTCCTTGCAGGTAACCTGGACATCACTCCGGACGACCCCCGCTGGATCGGAGCCTGGTGGGGTGGCTTTCTGCTCTGCGGTGCCTTACTCTTCTTCTCTTCCCTCTTAATGTTCGGGTTTCCACAGTCTCTGCCCCCGCACTCAGACCCCGCCATGGAGAGCGAGCAGGCCATGCTCCCCGAAAGAGAATACGAGAGACCCAAGCCCAGCAACGGGGTCCTGAGGCACCCCCTGGAGCCAGACAGCAGTGCCTCCTGCTTCCAGCAGCTGAGAGGTAAAGGCGCCTTGTCTGTGGGTAGCCAGGGTAATGGAGTGATGGATGGCGGTGGGGAAAAAGGGTGGCACTCAGGACTGGATGTTGGGGGACTTTGAGGCTGAATGGTATTTGTTTTTGCATGATTTACTTCTCTGGTCCTGCGTGTAACTTATTCCTGAGATGTTGGTGACCTCATTTGCTTAAATGTAACAAAAGCAAAGTAGCTACCATTCAGTAAGGGGCAGCAGACATATGTCCCCAGCAGAGGCCCCAGTGGCTAGCGTAGCACCTGATGTATAAGAAGTATAAGTGTTTGCAGAAGCAAGTAAGTGAAAGGGAAGGTGGACGCTAGACATATCATAGAACTCTCTGAAACTCTTTCAGGCCACTTATAAACCTGTTGCAGCAGTCAAGGACTTTAGAAGTTAGCGTCCTTTGCCTGATACAGGCATTCTTCTTCTTTTTTTTTTTTTTAAAGATTTTATCGGGAAACAGCGTTTGGGAATCAGGGGAGGGGAACAGACAAGTTT